TGATCCACCCGCCTCGGCCTCCCAAAGTGCTGGGATTACAGGCATAAGCCACCGCACTCGGCCTCAGGTTATGTTTTAAATACAAAATAATGTGAAGTTTTCTTTACATAATTGCCACATCATCCCCAGTCCATCTTCCCTGCCATGAGGAGTACTTTTGTGGCAGGGTCTTTTAAATATAATATTTGTCTTTTAAAAAAGCACTTCTACAAATTGTAATCTGAGATAATTATACACACTAAAATATTTTTGAAAGCTGCATTTGATATATTAGAACTAAAACAAATATAAAAGGCATATGCATTATAAAATAATTTGAAGTAAATAACCTTAAAATTTATGGAACATATACAATATTGGAAATGATACTTTACAGGGACTAACATCCTTCTTATAACAAAATTAAAAATTCAGAAGCAGAAATTCAATGTAATAAAACTAGAAAGACTAGTTTGAAATCTGCACTCTATGTGAGCAGCTCTCTTTATTTTTCGTTTATTTATTGTACAAACCCATATCCTTACTATGCAGCAGTTACTCTTCTAAGTATGTTAACATTAGTTCATTTAAAAATCATGTTCTGGATTCAGGACTACTATAAAAAGATTAAAAAGAAATAAAAAACAAAAAATAAAAACCATGTGATGGCCACTGTAGGCTCATGCCTATAATCCCAATACTTTGGGAGGCTGAGCAGGGGGATCACCTGAGCCTTGGAGTTACAGATCAGCCTGCATAACATAGGGAGACCCCACCTCTATTAACAATACAAAAATTAGCCGGGCATGATAGCATGTGCCTGTAGCTCCAGCCACTCAGGAAGTTGGGACAGGAGAATTGCTTGAACCCAGGAGGTCAAGGCTACAGTGAGCCATGATTACATCACCGCACTCCAGTCTGGGTGACAGAGTGAGATTCCAAGACTTTGTCTCAAAAAAACAAAACAAAACAAAAAACCGTGTGAGTTACTATTTCATTTCCATCTTTTCTTTTTATTTTTTTTTTAGAGACAGGGTCTCACTATGTTACCCAGGCTAGAGTGCAGTGGCACAATCATGGCTCACTGCAGCCTCGACCTCCTAGGCTGAAGCTATCCTCCCACCTCAGCCTCCCAAGTACCTGGGATGACAGGCCTAAGGAATCATGCCTGGCCCTATTTCCATCCCTTTTACAGATTAGGAAACTGATGCCCAGAAAACGGAAGAACTATACTCAAAGTCACACAGCTCTCAAGCATTTGAGCCCAGATTCAAGCCAAGCATTCTGGTTTCAGTACTGCCAGCTCTCAACCCCAACTCTATGCTGCTCCTCTTCATTATAATTTTATTCCATAAAAAGTTTATATAAATGCAAATACAAAAACCTAAAGCGAAGGCAGAAAGATGGGTAAAAACACAAAACAGAACACACGTACATTAAGCACTGGAGCCCAGGAACTAACCCAACATGCCTTTCTGCTCAAAGCACCAAGTAACAGGGGCAGCTGATATTTTCCAGACTTTTGCCTACAGGCACCATCTGTCCCACAGGAAAGCAGGTGAGGGACAGCCTTGATAAGGAGAGATAAATCTTTGCTGAATTTCTCTTCTCCCGCCTCAATCTAGGGAGCAGCTGGAAAAAGACTAGACTAATAGCAACCTTCTTAGAAAATCCCAAGATAGGCTCAGGAAAAGAATGAGCAAGAAAAGAAAGTACCTACTCTTGAGAATGCACCAACTGGAACACAAGCAACAAAATAAAAAGCTCTTCACCCATGGCCTTTGCACATATTGTTACCACATCCAGGTTTTAGAAAAGAGAGCCCTTGACGGTCAGCAAACTATGCCAAATCCTGCCTGCTGCCTGTATATTTTTTTTTAAAGAAATGGGGCCTCTCTATGTTGCACAGGCTGGAGTGCAGTGACACAATCACAGGCTTAATTATAGCACGATATAACCTTGCAGTCCTGGGCTCAAGTGATCCTCCT